GATGCAATCTGCACAATTCTTCTGAAAAGCAAAATACACGCCAAATTAGGATGCTGCGTCCCTTATTTTCTATTATAATTTTGTAATTGACAAGCTTGCCCACTTAATAGATTTTTGTAATCTCCCTCTTCCAGCTTTATTGTGCAATTAACAATGTTTAGGTTCCACTCAACAGCTGAGAAAATGTTTTTTTTTGGCGCAAGTGGACCAGTGGAAAACACCTTTTCAATGGAGTGTTTATTTTGTGAATAAACATACAATCAGTAGAAATCCACTGCCTGCTATTAATCTGTCATCTTTTTCCTCTCACCTTGTCATAGAGCACTTCCAGCTGCCTGTCGTCCTCCTTCAGCTGCGCGAGCTGCGACAGCACTCGACGGCCAAAGTGCAGGTAGACCAGGCCGGCGGAGCTGAGCTTGGTCAGCCATGGCTTCTCTGGACAGAGGCTGTTGAAGGTGTCCGAAAAAGTCCTGAACAACAGGAAGGAAATGTGTTTATTAGTCTTTGCCTTTTAAAACTTTACCATATATACTGTGTAGCAAGAGAAGAATGGATTATTTATTTTAAAAAAAAAAAAACTTGTGATATTCATATTTCACTCTAAAGGCCAATCGCTAGACTTTTTTTCTGCTCATAACAAATAATTTATATTTTTTTCTCCTCTTCAGCAAAATGCTGCATCTAGCCATGTGCTTGAAATTATCAATAATAACTGGTTTGTAAGTGTGAGCACACATAACCACTGGAGGTCTCTCAGACACGTGCTGAGATGGGTGGGCTCCAGCACAGAGTCACTGCTGGTCATTTAATTCAGGCTTAATTAGGATGCTCGGGCAGCAGCACAGCGGAAAACCGACCAGCAAATGAATGAGTGACACACAGGGAAGTAGGGGGTAATCACAGCCATTAAAGGGCTAATTGGCCGTGCAGAGGCATTTCTATGCTGATGATCATAAGATGGAAGTGAACGAGAGAGAGGAAAATGAAGAACGGCTAAAAGAAAAAGCACTTATGAAGAAAAAGTCATCAAACTGTTTGTGTGAAGTCGAGATCAAGCGACATCTCGCTGCATTAAAATGGGACAGTTCAGCTGTGCGCTGGTGATATTTAGGCATAAATTAAGTTTTATTTAAACATAATTAACATATAGTGGGCTTCACATACTGCACCAGCTGCACCACTTAATGTTGCTG